AACTGTAAGTCGCTCTGGATAAGAGCGTCTGCTAAATGACTAAAATGTAAATGTTATTTATTTTTTCTAAGAGATTGTCAGTTGGATAGGCTCTCTGCAAGGTTTTGTATATCTTTTTCTGACTCAAATACGATTCCCTCAAGATTGCTCTGATGTCCAAAAGATTTCACATCTAAATGTATCATGCGTTTCAATAGGAACGCAGTTTCACAGTTATTGACTGCCCAATATTTTGGCCATCTGAAGACATGTCGATTGTTGCTTTGCAAATTCATGAGAGAAGTACTATGAGCATACATACCAAGTTTGAGTCAATCAGACTTATGGTTCATAAGGAGAAGATTGTTGAAGGTTTTACCAAAAATCCAGGATGGCGGAAAATCCATCATGGGGGACTTTATGGGTTTAATCAGAGAGGAAGAGGCTAAGCAAGAGGTTTTACTCTGCCCAAAATCTGTCCATGAAAATAAGCCCACAGAGTGAGGATTTTTTTTTTTTTTTAAATAGAGATAGCCTCAACGGCGCTGTAATGGCACAGATACAAAGATGAGTCCTCCATCTATCTCTATGGCCTGTTGTTCACACATCTGCCCTCTCATTGGCTGAAATGGTCCCACCTGATCTTGCCTCCTCCCGCCTGCCTTCCATCTTTGAGGACATCCAGGCTCATGTCATAGCCGGCCGCGACCGGGAGACCCATGGGGCGGCGCACAATTAGCCCAGCGTCGTCCAGGGTAGGGGAGGGAATGGCCGGCAGGGGTGTAGCTCAGTTGGTAGAGCATGGCGTTTGCAACGCCAGGGTTGTGGGTTCGATTCACCCAGTATGAAAAAAATAAAAATTAAATAATGTATGCACTCACTAACTGTAAGTCACTCTGGATAAGAGTGTCTGCTAAAATGACTAAAATGTAAAAATATATATTTCCATTGTTAGAGCGGTCACTCGAATATCTTGTCAATATAATAGACAATCTTTGGTTTCATTGGTGAATGTGTTCCTTGTGAGGAGAGTGGTCAATATTTCTTAACTACTTCAAACGGGTGTGAATGCTTGGCTGCTAAGGGTCAAAAGTTAAATGTGTGTGTTTTAGTGCCACATATGGGCCAATCAGTGCCAATGTTGGTGTGCCAGTTATATGGACAATTATATCAATTTTAAAAATATTGAGTCACAAATAAATCAAATAAAATTGTATTAGTTACATGATTGGTAAACAACAGGTGTAGACTAACAGTGAAACGCTTACTTACAGGCCCTTCCCAACAATGCAGAGAGAAATAAAATAGAGAAATAATAGAAAAGTAATAACACGTAATAATAAAAATTATAATAAATACACAATGACTAATGATAGCTTGGCTATATACACGGTGTACCAGTACTGAGTTGATGTGCAAGGGTGCGAGGTAATTGAGGTAGAGGTAGACATACAACTAGGAATTAAGTGACTAGGCAACAGGATAGATCAACAGTAGCATACACGTACGTGATGAGTCAAAAAGATTAGTGCAGAAAGACCCAATGCAGATAGTCTGGGTAGCTATTTGGTTAAAGCTACAATATGTAACTTTTTGGGCGACCCAACCAAATTCACATAAAAATGTGAGCTATAGATCTGTTATTATCATTGAAAGCAAGTCTAAGAAGTAGTAGATCTGTTCAACTTCAAACAGCTGAAAATACAATATTTGGGGTTATTGAAAATATATTTCACAGCGGTTTAGATGGTACAATGATTCTCTTTATGTTTTGTCACATAAATTAGGCAAACTATTTGAATTTTTGCAACCAGAAAATGGCGGAGAGATTTCTGCATATTGCACCTTTAACTATTTAGCAGTCTTATGCCTTGGGGGTAGAAGCTGTTCAGGGTCCTGTTGGTTCCAGACTTGGTGCATCAGTACTGCTTGCCGTGCGTAGCAGAGAGAACAGTCTATGACTTGGGTGGCTGGAGACTTTGACAATGTTTAGGGCTTTCGTCTGACACCGCCTGGTATAGAGGTCCTGGATGGCAGGGAGTTCAGCCCTAGTGATGTACTGGGCCAAGTTTCATAAACGCATCTCAAGGCTAAATTCATTGTTAACTTTTGTAGGAGCATCGTTAAATCTCCGAGTGGTTTCCCAAAACCATCGTTACTAAAGTTGCTCTTAAAAACGCTTGTTATTTAACGACTGCTTCAGACCACTCGTAGAACAGCTATGTGCGTGGTTAGATGCTTTTTTCCCCATCCACGTCGCTTTATACAAAGAAGATATTCGCTAAACATAAAATCAAGATGTTTACCGGTCTTTCTATGACCTCCGATAACTTCACAATGAACGTGACTACAAATACAAAGATGCCAATTTCTTTGCAATTGTTACTAACAAGCGAAGGATAAAAAGATGATTAAATGAAAACCAAAATAACTGTATTACAAATATGAATACGGTATAGGCTACATCTACCTATATATTTAAATTATATTAAAATCTCTTTAATGTTTTACTGAAAAATTATATAAACGCAACATGTAAAGTGTTGGTCCCATGTTTCATGAGCTGAAATAAAAGATCCCAGAAAAAACGTATTTCTCTCAAATATTGTGCAGAAATTTGTTTACATCCCTGTTAGTGAGCATTTCTCCTTTGCCAAGATAATCCATCCACCTCTGGATAAGAGCGTCTGCTAAATGACGTAAATGTAATGTAAATGTAATTATACAGGTGCACCTTGTGCTGGGGACAATAAAAGGCCACTCTAAAGTGTGCAGTTTTGTCACACAACACAATGCCACAGATGTCTCAAGTTTTGAGGGAGCGTGCAAATGGCATGCTGACTGCAGGAATGTGCACCAAATCAAATCAAATTTTATTGGCCACATGCGCCGAATACAACAGGTGCAGACATTACAGTGAAATGCTTACTTACAGCCCTTAACCAACAGTGCATTTATTTTTAATAAAAAAGTAGAATAAAACAAAAAAGTGTTGAGAAAAAAAGAGCAGAAGTAAAATAAAATAACAGTAGGGAGGCTATATATACAGGGGGGTACCGGTGCAGAGTCAATGTGCTGGGGCACTGGCACCGGCAGATAATTTAATGTTAATTTCTCTACCATAAGCTGCCTACAACGTCGTTTTAGAGAATTTGGCAGTACGTTCAACTGGCCTCACAACCGTATACCACATGTAACCATTTCAGCCCAGGACCTCCAGATCCGGCTTCTTCACCTGCGAGATCATCTGAGAATAGCCACCTGGACAGCTGATGAAACTGAGGAGTATTTATGTCTGTAATAAAGCCCTTTTGTGGGGAAAAACTCATTCTGATTGGCTGGGCCGGCTCCCCAGTGGGTGGGCCTGGCTCCCAAGTGGGTGGGCCTATGCCTTCCCAGGCCCCCATGGCTGCACCCCTGCCTAGTCATGTGAAATACATAGATTAGGGCCTAATTAATTCATGGGGGTCTGTAGTGACGCCTCAAGCACTGAGATGCAGTGCCTTAGACCGCTGCTATTGCTCACTATTGGCCCTCAGTCAGTAGTGATGAGTCTAAGTCTTTCAGAAGGCCTAGACACATCACCTTTTTTTTTTTAAAGGTTCCGCCCATTCCAATTCAAAATGTGATTGGTTCATTCCACTGTCACTCCAAAATTCTGCTCTAATACAGTTGAATGGCAGAGGCCTTCTGGCCAGCTTCTGAAGGCCTAGCCAATGGCTGGCTGAGCCAGCTATATTCTTTAACCAGAGACCACCAAAGAAAAATCCTGATTCGTTATTTTTTTGTCTTCAGTATTAAACCTTCTATTTCCAACACAAAATGAATAGATGAAATCAGAAGATCATTAAAATGTTTGAAAAGATTCAATAGAATTTAAAATAAATTTTTATTGAAATAATATATACTTTTTTAGAAGGCCCTCAGGGTTCCCCACTGGATGGCAGTCACATATGTAATGCAAGTCATAAATGTAATGCAAGTCACAAATATGTAAATTGTTAGATATGTCATCTGTGGAGTCACAAATGTTGTCACATTCACAAAAACATATTTGACTGCTGTTGTGTTTGCAAAATAAGAAATATGTTTGTACAATGTGCTGTGTTAACCAGAAAAAACCTGTCTTGCATTTATCTGCTAATCATCACGTGTTTTTGTTAATGATGACTCCTTTGCTTTTGGATCATGACATATGTTTGTGAAACTATATGGGCAAATTTACAGACTGAGTTTTTTTTATTTTTTTATGGTTGCATTCTATATTTGCACAACAACACATATTTTGTTTGTGACAAGCTACTTATATATTTTATACATGTTGATAGAAATCCATCCCCATACTGTTACCACTGTATTGGTCTACAATCCTGCAAAGTTTTATCAAACTCCTACAATAACAATAGGGTTGATATGATAACTTAAGAACGGTTGTGGTGGACATGAAATGGCAATAGGCCTGCGCGCTTTCGTTTCTCCACAAACATCTATGACGCGCAAGGGGAGTGTTTACCGGAAGATTACGCGGGTAAAGAAATTCCATGCACGGACTTTCCATGAGGAGTGGCACACATATTTCAGTAAATCAAAGATGCTGGCTTTGCCTCTTCCTCTCCGAATACATGTAATTGTTGTTTTCTTCATGTCATCATGGAGATAAACAAGTGAGGGGAAGATAGGTAAAACAATGCATGACAATTCAATTGAGTATCGAGTCTAAAGTGTAACAAATAATGATAATAATGACAATAGTATAGCAATCCTCGCTATATGAGCCACGTTACAATTCCCACCAAGCACACTAATGAAAGCGTAGCTACATGATTCTACATTTTAACCATCCATGAATTTGCTAATCGACTTCTAAAGTAAATATGTTCTAATAACCTGTTGAGTCTGGGGGAAGGGTTCTGAGCACGAGTTTACCGTAAATTATGACGATTCGAAAGTAGGACCTTTGCGTAGCTCTTATTGGTTGCTGTTACTACAGGGGGTGGAGTGTAAAGTGCGATACAAAACAGATCAATCTGAAGGCGTTTGTAGTTGATCAGTGACTGAAGTGAAGGATACAAGTTGTGCAATATCAAGGTGATAAAGTGGGCAACGTGAACTTTAGATTGTGGGAATAGGACTTTCAAAGTACCCATTATTTCATTCCACGCTTTTTCTCAAGTTTAAAATACCCTTTGTTGAAGAAACGGTCAAGAGAAACATGAACAAAGTGTTCCTCGTGTTGTTTTTATTTGCCTCCGTCTACTCTGAGTCGGTAAGTAATTTTCGCTTGCTAACAGAATACCGGGTAACGTTAACTCAGCTACCGTTAGCTATAGCTAATTTAACGTTACTCACTTTTACTTTAATCTCTTGATGTGTTCGTTTCAATTTACTTAGCCTAACTAACCTAACTTACCACAATGGCTTTAGTTTAGCTAACCTTACTACTTCAGTTGGCTAAAGCCAAGACAATGCTAACGTTAGCTACTGTAGTAGCTGTTATTACTGCTAATCAGCTAGTTAGCTACTTACTTAGCCAAGTTAACGTTAGCCACCAACACTTAATGTAATGGCTATTAAGGTAACTACTGTTTTAGCTAGCTGCTCAACTTGATTGTTTACAAAATTACAGATTGTTTACCAAACTACACATTTAGCAGTCTAACTAGCTAATTGTGCTTAGTCAGGTAGCTGGATAACTAGCTACAGTAGCTAAGTTAGCTACCTACCTAGCAAAGTCAGCTAAATTGACAAAATATTTTTCGAAAGAGTAAGGCATATGGTTTGTGGCCCCTGGCCTCCCCATCATAAGAGAAAGCAATGGTGTTTAAATTGTGGTAGATAGCTACATTTGTCTGGCTAGCTAGATACATTGATTTGTCTGGTGTGTGGGGGAGGTGTAGTGATAATCATGCAGGTGACCATCCATCACATGTAGCTCAGAAAGAGGGCAAGCTAGATTAGGTTATATACACTGGTCTAACATGTCAGATAACCTAAACTTTATCTAGGGACGCCCATATTTAGCTGGGCTATTGTAATTTGACCAGTACTGTTGACCTGTTTCCATTTTACTATATAATTCAATTACAGCAGTGACTAAATGTTTTATTGCTGACCAGTTGCCAAATAAAGACCACAATCATTTATCAAACTAAACAAACACTGCATATAACATGGCTCAACACACTATCAGTGTTTAGACTAGTTCTCAATTCAGTATGCCTAATGCAATGTGGTTTCGTTTTGGACAGTTGGTTTGATAACTTTTGGAAGTGGATATGAAGCAGACGTGCACATACCAGGATGTAGGTGTACTTCCTTGTGCTATTTGATGTAATCTGTTGACAATGACAGCGTCCAATCCTGTCCGCTTAATTGGAAATAATTGCCATGGTCAGATGTCGGGAAGGGGGCTAAAACAGAATGGTTATAGGCTAACTAGATGCCACCCAGTGAGACCGACTGGGCAATATGCTAATGCAGTGCTCAGCAGACCCTGCCCGAAGGATAGGTGCTCATTGCCGATGGTCCTCAGATCCTAGTCTTCTGAATACATAGCTACAGATTTGTAAAGGGATAATGTGATTCTCCATTACCCGTTAGAGGATAGCTACTGTAGCACAAAGAATCTTGACCTTAACTTGGCAATACTATTTTCGTTCTCGATTCAGCCGAACATGTCTTCAAAAAGGTCCAGTTACAGGTGGTTCGTTTATATATAGAAAATGCTCTGTTATTAAAATAAATATTTTGCGCCATGAAGTAATCCAACAATGTGTATGCCACCATTTTGTCTATTTCAAATATTCTCTCATTGATTGAGACAGGTGGGTCAACCCCAAAGTGATGCATGTCATGAAGTTACTTTGACAAGTTACATTTATAAATTAATATTTATAATATTGTCTAAGTCAGGGTTTTTTCAAAATGGGTGTTGGGCGTGGCGGGGGTGTTGCAGTGGGCGTAGCCAATGGCAAGGTTGTTGACCAACATTTTTAAAGGCCCTCCTGTTGGCTGCAGTGACAGCATTTAGCCATTTTAAAGTGAATTTCCTGCAATTCTACACATTTTGCCATGGCTTATGCTATCTGAGTGACTCAAACATTATATGAAATTAAAGGGGGCCCCATGGCATGACAAATACACCCGAATGCATCATTTTGTGAATTTTAGGTTCTCCCTTACTGTCTAGCTTTTATTTTGGTGATTGTTAGTTCTCAGAGATCTTATAAAAAATAAAACACTATTTTATTAACTATTTGGCACGAAAACACTAAGGCTGCCCGCCCAATACTTTTCTATGTACAAAAAACCCTGGAAGTGTTTATCGATGTCCTTAAATTGGGCTTAAGCTCCAGCAGCAGCACTTTCAATAAGCGGGAAACAAAAAACTAATGAATGATGAGTGTGTCAGTTATCACACAAACAACTTTTGTTTTGAATAGCTTACAAATTGTGCATTTATATAAAAGTCAACAACATTTGCATAAAACAAATTATTTAGCATATGACATTCTTTATACCACTTTCATTAACATTTGGCTTAGACCAAAATAACCAATAGGCCTATTATCCTTGCTCTATGCCTTTTGCCTATGGAACTGTAAAAATCAAATCAGAAAGAAAATATTAATAACAAGGAACTCTAGCATTTCACCCCACAGAGAAGCATACTCAACAAGATGACTGAGGTTTGTAGTCTGTCCATCCTTTGCCCTCAATCTTTATGCATATTCTGCAAGTGACTTAAGTCAGGTCTGCCAAACAGGTGACAACGTGCTTTTCTTTCCCTCAAATTCAGCCGTCGTTTTCTCTGATTTTAGCTAAGGCAGGCCATACTATAGTTACTAAGTGAAATCCTGTCACTTCCGCTTTTCTCTTCTTCCGGAAAGTAGCCTAATGGAAGAATGTTGCAAATGCGCTTACCCAGATCAGGATAAAGTAACAGTAGCCTACACTTGATACGGCTATAGTATTCATTTTTAAAAGGTAGGCTAATATACCTGATAGCCTTGAGTATTTTTATGGACAAGAGAAACAACCTTACCAATTTGAAAATCATTCTGCAGCCTAGACAGGGCTGTTGCGGTGACCTTATTACTGCCACACCGGCAGTCATGACCACAATAAAATTCCCTGTGCCACTGTAATCTCCCTTTTTATGCACTCTGGACATGCTGACATCAATGCAATTGAAAATCACACCAAACTCTTCACTGTGATGATCAATTTGAAGAAAGAAGTTCAACAGCAGGTTGAAACAGTGTCAAACATGGTTGTTGTGGCTGTTTCAAAGCCTAAGCCAACGAAATGGACGGGGCTTTCTAAGGTGATGATTATTTATTTATTTTTTATTTAATTTTTATTTCACCTTTATTTAACCAGGTAAACCAGTTGAGAACAAGTTCTCATTTACAACTGCGACCTGGCCAAGATAAAGCAAAGCAGTGCGATAAAAACAACAACACAGAGTTACATATGGGGTAAAACAAAACAAAGTCAAAAATACAACAGAAATACATATATATACAGTGTGTGCAAATGTAGCAAGTTATGGAGGATTAATTCAAATTGCTCATACACATATTAGAGCTTAAGGGCCCAAGCCCCCACACCCCTCCCCAAACATAATTAAAATTGATTGTGCCATTAAACAACAAAGCCTACCGCATATTTTCAGCATGGCAGAAAAACATCAAACAAAACTGATTTAAGATGTCTTTGGTATATAATTGGTCAAGCCTTTGAGTGTGGACAGTATTATTATTATGCTTACTGGATGGACTGGTTACCTTATGCTATGCTCCAAAATGTCTATCCATGAGTCTGGGAGAGAACGTATAGCCCTAGGCGATGCTGCTGGTTCATTGATTTGTGCAGGGCGACTTAGTTAGCCTACAATTAGTGAATTTGATCTTGAATAGCCTAGTAATAGGGATTATAATTTTTTTTTTTTTAAATGACTTAGGTGACACATGACCTTTTAACTATACAGAATCTCAACACCATGCGTTTCCATCTCCTCTCTCTCCTTTATTCCTTTCTCGAGCGTGCAGACGGGCTGTCAACAGTTTAGTTAAATATGTTTTGTTGCGATGTTGTGGTATTAAGCACATGCGGCGCAATAAAACCAAGGTAGCCTACTAAATGGACCTGCGAGAAAGCGCATGGCCTCAATCGCTATTGGAGTGCATATAGGTTACTTATTTTTTTCCCTACCCTGTTCCTCCCCATTTGATAATGGGCCATTCTAAATCGAAAATAATTTAACATATTAGTAAAGACAAGATTAAATTGAGAAATTGTTCACTTGATGAGAGAACAGCTGTGCAGCCTGAGGCAAGGAACAGAGCACAAGCTTTTTTTTGCTACATCAACAGCCTATAGTTGCACCATGCAGTCCATATGTTTTGATTTCTAAGTAATTCCAAGGTTTGTATCATTCACAACTGAAGTTGCCAAATAACTCTAAATCTAGCATATGGGACCTGTTTCAAATGATCACTTTTACACTTAACATACCCATTTCATTATCGCACTCGCTCCGTAATGGGAAACATTTCCTTTCGATTTTATTCAGTTAAGTTCAATTATAATTTTCTTATTATAAAATCATATAAAAGAATGGTCATTGTAGTTAATTACCACATTTTCCACGCTAGACTATTTAGAATATTGGCCTGTTAGAAACTACAATTCCCTACTACCTTGCACAGTTCAGGCTTGATCTGATTTCTCTCTAGAGAAACTTCACATTGAGCTCACAGAAAAAACCCAAGAACGAAATTGAAATAATTGAACCTTTTTAGTTGTTTAGAAAACGAATAACTGACGCATTTGGTTATTTGCTCATCACTATTGAGGTGTAATGGAGAACAAAACAGTAAAATCCCCCGTATTGACATGTGCCTTTTGTTAAGTAAATCGGGTGTTAAATGAGGTGAAAAGGAGACTGAAGGAGGATTACGGCTGCATTTTAATAATACATTTTCCTGTTACAAGTTTTTCCAGTTGGGCCATTGTTTTGATAGCCTACCCCTCTGTGGAGAAGTCGCTAAATGTGGTAGCACACGATAAACAAGCTGGTCTCCACACTGAGATTCCAAGCAGCCTTGTGCAGCCTGAGTTGAATCTGTTACATTCCTCAAAACCATGCAGAGGCTGCCCCTCTCATTTTCCCTTGGAATCTGACCTCTGCGGACCTTGAACGGCCCTCTTCAGGATTTGGACAGATCTAAATGGCCAGGGTCCTTTCATTAGCCAAGCTTCCCAGCTAGTGGACCAGAAGCTGGCTCCTGTTTCTCGCCAAAAAAAAGCCCTCTGATCAATTGTATGCTTGCCTTAAAAAAAATAAATAAAATATATAATATATATATAATATATATAATATATTACTTTGATGGCTACTAAGCCTAACTATGACAAGCCTCATTCCTTTCGTCCATCTGAAGTTTATGGGTGAATGTCTGTTTTAGTCTAAGCTCATCAGGACTTCGACCCGAAGAATAGAACAATGGGCTTATACCATTATACACAATACTTTTGTTTGATGCATTTTGGTCCTCTGTAGCTCAACTGGTAGTGCACCGCGCTTGTAACGCCAGGGTAGTGGGTTCGATCCCCGGGACCACCCATACACAAAAATGTATGCACGCATGACTGTAAGTCGCTTTGGATAAAAGCGTCTGCTAAATGGCTTATTATATTATTATTTTCATTGTACATTTTAATCAGTGCCATGTGTCATACCAATCGGCCTTTATTTACATCAGTCTTTCCTTGTCAGCTTAACAAGCATCCCTGTTCTTACATTCTGTAGGTAGACCAAACATGTCTTATTATTTTATTTGGTAAATGTTTTGTTTCTTATGTGGGGACAAACGTGAACAAGGTTCTCTGTTTCTTGTTATCCACTCTGACTTAGGCCTACACACTGTATTTGCAGGCTTTTATCTGCTATCAAAATGATTCCTTTTGCCATTACTGGGCACATGGCTATTTTTGTTGGAATGCAGGCTTTGAAATAAGCGTGAGAATTTGCACTAGAATTAGCCTTTTTTATTTTCTTGATGGGGTGAATTGAATGCCCAGTGAATAGCTGTGGAGAGAACATAATACTGGTTTCTGCATTGCTGTCCATTGGGCTATAAATCCCTTTTGGAGGATGGAATGTTGGCACTGAGAGAATGGGTTTTGTCCAGTGCTTGTGTGAGAAATTCCCCCTCCACCCCAACTCTGGCCGTTGAATGTCATTTAGCATACGTTGTGCGCAAGTAGTGCATTTCTGGGTTGTTCTGTATATAAATGAGGTATTCACCCAACACTGAATTTGAACCATGTTTTCATTGGGAAATGTACCATATAGGCTTAGCCTCCGGGATTACTTTTGAACCAAACATCGAATTTGAACCATGTTTTGTTTCCATTGGGAAATGTACCAGGATCTGACGGAGCTTCACTTGCGTCGCTCTCTACATACTTTTGTGCGGCTTAATTTTTGGAGCACGACGCAAACAGAGCTGTGAAATCACTGTGGAGAGTCCTTTTTTTCCCCTAAATGGACCACTTGTGGTTTAATCAGTCTGAGTGGTCACAAGTCTGAGAACGGGAACACCAACAGGGCTGGGACAGTTTTAATCCCAAATGTGAATTATGATTAACTACCCTAGCAGCTCCAGAGCAGAGAAACAGCAACTCATATTGAACTGGAAAAGTCACTGTAGGCTAGTAGTGGATCTCAGGAATGCAGTAGTTGCATGCAGCTAAACTAGGCCACTTATAAAATTCCTCACTCAACCATAACAAGGGCACAATGTACAGTGTTGCTATATTTAGTCTATGGGTACTTAGACTTTGTCTGTATACTAGATTTTCAGGGTTTGTTTTAGGTTGAAGAACAGATTAACCTCCGTGTGGTCAATGTTGTGACGTCTTTCATTTAGGCTTACTCACAAATGAGCTCTGGAATTTTCCATCGGCAGCATCACACAATGATATTCAAACAGTGGCTCTTTTAATTTCCAATTCTCAATTAGCTAGACTCCAACACTGCCCTGTTCTTCAGTTTTATTTTGACGTGGTCCTAACCTCACGCCAGTATTTACATGCGTTCTGGAATGCACCAATTTGTTGGTAAGCACATCAGAATTGTGTTGAGTACACATTGGATATGTTTTGATTGTGTAAGACAAGATGCAGGGGGATGGGTGTTTGCACCCTTGTTGGGCTTGTTTTTTGTCCTCTGGGAAATGTTGGATTAGAATATTCATCAGGTCTGATTAACTCCCTGTTTGACATTAACTTCACAGTAGGATAGATAACCCCTGAAACGATGACGAGATCCGCCAATCGTTTCTCAGAATCTCCTTTGATCATTTACTGAGGGACAACTTGTTTAGACAGGTCCCATAGAAGTTAGCAAAGGGGGGGCCTGTGACGCCATATGAAATGGGGGGAATTGCCTGGTGAATGTGTATGACTGGAGACTTGCCCTGACATGCCAGAGTTGGATGCATTTGATTTGAAATGCAATGAGGAAGTGAAGGAAAAATAGTCTCCTTTTGACATCTGGAGTAGTCTAAATCAGTCCCTGTAGCCATGTGGAGACCCATTTGAGTTTAAAGGGGCAATCAGCAGTTGCTACATCCATTTGTTTTTACTTATAAATTAATGATATGTACCCATTTAATTCTTGAAGAATATCCTATAAATGAATACCTCATGAGCTTAGTTCAACTGTCGTACCCCCGTCAGAACCCAAAATATAAGCTTGTTTTACTGTTTGTAAACACACTAGCCTAAAAACATGGTTAAAACTAAAATGTTTATCTTGGATGGTCAGTCCTTGCATCCATAGCTCTGTCTATGAATGAGTGGTTACATTTCACCAGCCCCATCCCTCAGCTTTATACCGAAACGGGGAGGGCACTTTGTTATTGTTTCAATTGCTGATTGCCGCTTTAAATGGGGACGCATCAGTCTTAGTTAAAATTCTGAACATAGAGGCCCTTTGTCAGCCAAAGTGCTGAGGACATGAGTGCAAGCCCTACCTCAGTGCAAACATGAGGAGAAAATGTCTGCCTGTTTGAAGATTCTGATGGCATTCCCTGCCCTCCCTCAAGTCAAATGTAATTTACGTGGGATTAACTTCAAACCACTATATTTGAAACAGAATTTCAGCACGCAGTTAAACTGCTGGGGGCTCTCCTCACCACGGTCACTGAATTACCGTAGCAGCAACGCTTAAACTTAACTCTTTCAAATGTGCCCAAGTTGCTTTCTTTTGTTCAATGGAACACTGTAACGTAATAAAAATGCTTAACTAGATTTGAGCCTTTTTATGCATGTTTTTGGGGGGGATAGAGAAAGGAACCACCTGGCTAAAAGAGGAACAAGGCTTCCAGTCTCCCAGGCAGCCCTGAGCAGCCATCCAGAACTGTAAAAAAAAAAACTCTCCCCCTCCTTTGCAGCTGAACAATGAATAATGCATGACTGTTTCATTAATCATAGACAGGGCATATATTTGCCCAGCCGAGCCAGGTGTTATCCAACCGGCCGCCCGTGTCTGGTGTCTTGTTCAGCAATCAGTGCTAACCCAACCCAGTGTGATGAGATCTGACAAGGCCCTGTGTGCAAGGGGCCAAAGACTTCAACCCCAAACACGTTCTGCCTAAATGTACTTTAGGAATCTCTTTTCGCACCTCGACCCTGTTGCTTGTGTTTTAATTGGATCGGGCCATTCAATTGCTCTGCCGTTTAATAGAATTCACAGTGCTTACTCGGCAAATGGGCAATGAAATGAAGTGTGCTAATGTGACTAGCAAAAGTTGTCTTTCAATTATGTTAAGCCCCTCATGATTATCTTAATTATAACGGTAAAGGGATAGTTCAGGTATAATGTATATTTGGGTCAAAATTACCCCTACCTTGAGTTGTCTGAAGGGCCACAATAATCCATTATTTACTTCTGGCTACAGCATCGTCCAAATTCATTAATGTAAATGGCAAACTAATGTTAACTATTCTGCACTGCAAGCCCAAATGAATTCTGACGATGCTAATATGCTAACACAATAATGGATTCTTGTGGATTCTGTCACCATGGGCCTTCAGACACACCTCTAGGTAAGGGTAATTTGACCCAAATATACATTTTGCCTGAACTATCCCTTTAAGAGCGTTTGACGGTTAAGGGGATGAAGGGGGAACTTGAAGTTTGAATGTCAGACGTGTGATTTTTGGAGGTCACTGTTGGTGACTGGTTGTGTCTGTGTTGAAAGGCCTACTGTAAGTGGAGGGTTAAAAGGGGATATTAGTGATGACTCTTTGTTTACTGTAGTTGGTCACTTCCTGTCTTACCTTTCCAGCCAAAAAGATTAGTCAGAGGCCCACTCACTTCCTGTTAAAACTTGTGATAGTTTTTGCAAAGGTCAAGCAGAAGATTTAGGGGAAACTTGCCATACAAAGTTTTCAGTGGCACTGGCACATATAAAAACCCACAATGTATGAGAATTAGCCATTGTAGGTGACAGTAATTATTTAAGCAGATTTCATGTGCCAGTGCCAGCATTCTCTTTAAGCAGATTTCAAGCAGCTGTGGTCCTCTGTAGCTCAGCTGGTAGAGCACGGCGCTTGTAACGCCAAGGTAGTGGGTTCGATCCCCGGGACCACCCATACACAAAAACAAAAAAAAATTATGCACGCATGACTGTAAGTCGCTTTGGATAAAAGCGTCTGCTAAATGGCATATTATTATTATGTGTAAAATTTCTCAAATTCACTCTATACAGCGGTTGTTGGAATATAGGCTACTAGAAGTAGGCTTAGACTTTCTCCACAGTTGAAAGTGGTTTTGGAAATGTAGCCTTATGCCAACTAGGATCTGTGTTTTTCTACTTGCTGTAGTATTCTGCTTCTAAGTGCTGTGTTTGGGGCAGCAGGTGCGGGAGACTGAGACATGGATGCCCATGAAGATGACCCAAGCCGTGTCGCGTGACGAGTTTGTCGCGTCTGGAGACGGCTCCGACTTCGGCTTCCCCGATGAGGAGCACGACACATTTGACAATGAGGACGACACGGAAGATGAGGATTATGACGATTTCTCTGGCTCTGGAGATGGAGGTTGGTGTTTGCAAAAATCTGCTAATTTGCTTTAGCAAGCTGATAGAATATAATGAAATATTGTTAACTTGTTTTCTTCTCTCTTCAGTAACTACTATTACAATCAAAAATGACAATACCATGACAAAGGTAAGGTTTCTCATAATTAGCTATCATGTACCAAATGAGAGTCAAGTTTCCTCTTTTTATAGTAGGCCTAATTCTCAGTTTTTTGCTCATAGCCTGACATGAACGACAACAACATTCCAGACCTGGACAGATCCCTGAGGCCCAAACCCACACCGAATGACATTGAACTGGTCCAGAAGAACAATGAAGTGTCAGTGCGGGGTGTTCCCAACCCCGAGGAGCACCTACCGAATGTACTGATGGCCCATGCAGGGGAGGAGAGCATCTTCAGAAAAACAGAGGTCCTAGCAGGTGAGGCAACAGCACACTTAACTTTATTTGGTCTAGTCAAATTGTTATTATTGAAGTATTTGTGGCAGTTAAATTTCACTGTCAGAAATATACGGTTTCATTTTAAGCTTGTCAAAGTTATTTGCAAGAATACGCTCTCAAGTGCGGCTAATTGTAATTCGACTGCGTTTTTGTTTCAGCTCTGATTGCTGGTGGAGCAGTGGGGCTGCTCTTTGCTGTCTTCCTCATCCTCCTGCTCGTCTACCGCATGAAGAAGAAGGACGAAGGCAGCTACGACCTGGGAAAGAAGCCCATCTACAAAAAGGCTCCCACCACAGAGATCTACGCCTAAAGCCCACCTTCACCGGGCCACCTGCCTGCTCTCCAGTGCCTCTCGAAAGCAAACCTCTTCTCTTGCCTGCTTACTGTACAGCCAGGAAGTCCAAGAGGGAGAAACCATCAAACAAAAACAGCTTCTCTTATTCCACCACGAATTCTAAAGTGGTTCATTTTGAAACGGAAGAAACACTTTAACTGTCAGTTTTTCCTTTTTTCCCCCTACAAGAAAGAGAATGGGAAAGGACCATTTCAGCTGCCAAACAATGCAGTACAAGATTTTTTTGTTTTGTAAAATAAACATCAATTCTGCAGCGAAATCTTGACTTTTCCCTCCCACCCTCTGTTTTATGACACTAACAAGGTGCAATGACAACTTCACTCAGTGAGGTGACATGGTAAAAACATTGGTACAGATATTTATTTTCCTCCCCCCTGCTCTGAACCTTGGTACCCAAACTGGTGCTACAGGAGTCTGTTACTGTAGCATTTTATTTTACATTATTTTTTAAATAATCCCTGTGCAGGGAAATCATGAAAGGTTCCGTTTAGATTAACATGTATTTTGTCAAAAACAGATTAAGTCTGTTGAAGTGAATTCCAGATTGATGAAAATAACTTGATACATGCTACCCTATCAATATAGAAGGGGCCAAGCTTGATTCTCCAGGGTGCGTTTTATTTGGACGGTACACAAATCTACATGCTTTTATTCCTAGGACAAATCACTGTGTGAATACACCCACTCCATCCACAGACCACTAAATTATTTGTAAAAAGGAGCAACACAACGACATCATACATACACTACCAGTCAAAAGTTTAGACACACCTACTCATTCCAGGGTTTTTCTTTATTTTTACTATTTTCTACATTGTAGAATAATAGTGAAGACATCAAAACGATGAAATAACACATATGGAATCATGTAGTAACCAAAAAAGTGTGAAACAAATCCAAATATATTTGATATTCTTCAAAGTAGCCACCCTTTGCCTTGATGACAGCTTTGCACACTCTTGGCATTCTCTCAACTTTTGACTGGTACTGTGCATATATGCATACATTAATGATTGGTGAGCTCAGCTTTTTTTATTATGTCAGGCCTCATCTCAGTGATTACAATACTCATAAACTAAGCTATTTGAACAGCTTATGGTTAATAGCTGTTGACAGAAATCAAGAATCATCACTGCACATGGACTGTACGCTTCCAGGGATCTCTGTACATAGTCATTTTTAATAAAATGCTGAACTTGGAACGTTTATTTACCAAATATTGAAATGCCAAAATTGTTTTCTTCCCTATACTAACATCATTACTGTAAATGCTTGGAATAATTGGTTTCTTCATGCCTAAGAAGTAGGGATGTAACGATTCACTGATACACATCGGCCCTGGTCCAAATGTTTATGATATGAGTGCAGTGGTCAGCTGGACCCCAAACCGATCCAAATGTAGTATGCACGCATCAGTCAGAAAATCACTAAATTGTTCTGTTCAAATGATATTTTTTCTACCTAATCTTTTGTGAGAACTGCTTCCTCTCCAGTGTTGTACTAAGCGTGTAATTATGTTGAGTCATTTTGCATGTTGAACAACCCCCAGGGCAAGATCGGTAGCCTAGTCAAACTGCACGCTGAACAAGGAGAGGTAGGCCTATTCCATGATCTGGCACATCTGCAAGTCACCTTCAGCATTCAAATGTTTGTAAAACGGCTGGCGCAATATTAGACTTGATTAATTATGGCTCAGCTCTGGTGCCTACATACACTGTAGACTTATACAATTTACACACGCGCGGAAGCTCAGAGAGACCCAGCACATGAGCTCTAGCGGCAGCGGATTTGAATTTAGAATGGAAAAGGAATGTGTTTATGCAACAAATGTTAGTGAACCGAATCGCATCGATTTGTTCCTCTAATCAAACTGAATCGTAGCGACTCGTTTCAAACTAAAACACATCGTTCCTGTATCATATCGGAGCCCAACTATCTGGATGCGTATTGAATCGTCTTTGAAGGGAAATATCCACATCCCTACTAAGAAGCCTATAGTGGTAAACACGTTTAACTACCAATGCTAATACTAACTTTTTCTGTCCAGTGTTTTAGTAGATTACTTGTTCAATATTTTGGTATTAATTTAACTGTCAGATTTGATTGCCTTTCAGGTTGGGGCTTTTCCCCCTCTAAGCTGTTGTATTTGATTTAAATGTTTATATACACTAGTTCAATATTTTTTGAAACATGTTTTTTAATTTTGTACCAGTTTTTATTTCTTGTAGACATTTTTAAGCCGTATATATTTATGTTTTGTAGAAGGATTGCTATGGAATTGTTCAGGGGAACTGAATTGAGCCGTGTCATTTGCATGGGGAAAAATAAGCTGCTTTTTTTTGTCACAAGATATGTGAATCTCCAATTGAGTGGAGAAGTCAATGAATCATTGACTTCTGCATGCAGGTTCTGATTTATTTGGAAATAAAGCTATTTTTATGCACATGAACTTTTTGGATCAGTCTTGTTTTCAGTATTCCACGTTTTCAAGTGACATTTAATATCTACACAAAGATCAGCACGAGGTGTAAAGCCTGCCAGCTCAGTCTTTGTCATAGAACTCTTCGCATTGTTATCGTCCTGTATACATTATTCTTATTGTTGCCAGGGCAGTTTCACCTGATTATCAACCCAACAATATAATGGGAGCTATATTACTCCAGAGCTTGCTTGCACAGTGTACAGAACAGCAGCACAGTCTGTACCCTAGCGCGTAGTGGCGTCCATCCTAAACATAGTTCGCCCTGTGTTCACGGTTGTCGGCTATTGTTTGTAGGTCTTGCTCAGTGTCACTCCCCGTGCTTCCCCATGTTTGCGACGATGGTGGCTTCGCCAGGTAGATTTGTCATGATGATATGATGTGCAATGTAATGCTCTTAAAGTGACAGTACATTATTTGAAGTCCTAGGTATTTGTCTGAGCAGTGTGCAAGCCACCATCCAGGTATTTAATGAACGTTGCTATTCATGTTTCTGAAGTTTAAACAAAATTGCCAGTTGGTTTTAAATCTTGTAACTGAAAAGATCTTCGTAATAAAAAATGTTTTATAAAGCGTTGTCTGGTTCCATTGCATTGCTCATGACCCAATCCAATATGTGGCCTGTCACGAACCTGTCTTCTACTGGTTGAGGTGTTCTTCATTAAACAGGAGCTGGCGTAGTCCGGGAGTTGAACCATTTTAGGTAACCCTAGTCGGCAGGTGTTACATCTAGATAAGACTTAACCACCAAACTGGCCCATGTTCTTTCCTTGCTGCTGGATGGTTTTGTATGGCACTCCTAGCACAGTGGATTGTGGGTAGCTGTGTTGACACCCAGACAGAATGGGTGGCAAACCTGTCCCTGCTTCTGTGTGCTGCTGGGAAAAACAAAAGCTGGTGATGTCAAAAAGTGCAGAACTTTCATGTACTCACCCTTTCAAATAGTAAAATCATTTAATGCAAGGTTTTGGCTAATTTGATTCATGATTATCTTGATTTGTAGAGGGAAAAAAATCAAGGGTAGAAGGTTGCATTAAACCCCCAATATTAAAACAAACATTATTAAAAACATGCTAAATTGTTATGGGAATTTCCAAAGGCCATACTGCAAGTCACACTGCTTTCAAATCAATCAGTCCTAACCACAGAACCATTATATTAGAATAAATATACAGGTAACTGACAAAATAAAGGAGGGATACAAAGTATATTGAAAGTAGGTGCTTCCACACAGGTGAGGTTCCTGAGTTAATTGAGCAATTAACATCCCGTCATGTATAGAAATGCCTAGTTACCCATTATTTTGCCTACCATGGCTAGGAGAGATCTCAGTGACTTGAAAGAGGGGTCTCAAATGAGCAGTGGGGTGCGTTCATACATGCAGCCCATTTTTGATATTTTAGTCACTAATTGGAATTTTGACCAATCAGATCATCTCTGAAAAGTATCTGATTTGAAAAGATCTGATGTGATTGGTCAAAAGATAAATTAGTGGAAAAAATATCAGAATTGGGCTGCCTGTGTAAATTCAGCCACAGTCACCAGATTCCTCAAAATAAGTGACATCTGTATCCTTATACATTTAAAACATTTTTAAGGAAGATGTGGAGGGTGACATGGAAGGATTTTAAATATGCACTATTATGTACATGTACATGTACTATATATAATTATCTCAACTTTTAGAATAATATTTTCCACATTGGACTCCTAAAATGTAATACAGTTACAACTACAAACTACTCTGACATAACATCACATCCTGGTCTCATTTATGTTTTTCACTATCATTACGTTTCACCAGCTGTTCTTGATTGTTTTCTCACCCAGGCCATCATTTGTCCTGAAAGCTGTTACTGTCTGATATATACACAGGAAGTCAGGGATAAAGGATGAGATGAAAGGCTTCCCTTCACTCACCAGGGTCAAAGGGCAAATTAAGATGGATTCCAGGAAATTACACTGAAGTTGGAGCGCTTTGTGGGGGTTGGATTCTCAACTGAAATTATACGGATTTATAATCTAGGGTTGCCACAATCTCTCATTGAACTACACACGATTACATCGTTTCAATCTAGTCACCCACTGAATGCATTATCTATCTATAGTGAGCTCATGCCAGGGGTATCACAGCGTACATTTGGAGTAGATTTTCTTTCTTGTGGTTCGCCTCTACTGCCCAAATGATACTAGAGCCATTTTGGATCGAGGGTGACGTAGTTTCCATGGTAACAACCAACTGGAGTGGGGCCAAGGGGATGATGCACCAAGAGTCCTTTTTTAACTCGAGGTCTGTAAAACATTGGGCAGTGCGTCAGCTGGTCTAATGACAATTAAACAAATGAGATCCACATGGCCAAAATTAGTGAGCTAGCTATCCTTTCCTCCCAGTGTAGATCAGGTTGCCTGGGTGCTGGCTGCAGTTCTCCCACAATCATAGGCAGCCTTTTGTCTCCATGCATAAACAAATTCCACA